CTCTTGAACCAGAACGGCCACGGATAGTAACCATTCCGGCTGGGGAACTGGGGATGGGCACCCCAGGAGGTCCGCAATCGTCATGGCCAAGAGGGCTTCTGGGTAAAACGTTTTCCGATTCTCTCAAGTGGCGGGTGAGGTCCAGACATACACCAAGCTGCGGCGGGCAGCGCGGCGAAACCGCACGCACGGTCGCACCACAGAAGGCCTGGCGGTGGAGCTGAGGCGCACCATGATGGCCACCGAGGTCCCTATTTTGAGGCAGGTGGTGAAGTTCGCAATTCCTCGGAACCGTTGGGCACACGCCAAGAAGTGGGGTGACAAAATGTTCGTACAGCTCACGGCAGGACTCCATGTCGACCCGAGTGTCCTTCGACAGTTCGTGGGATGCTCCGGCAGGGCGGACGTGGCGAAGTCGCAAGACTCGCTGCGTTCGTTCATATATGAGTCGTTCAAGTGCCGCGCGCGTGACGAGCGGGAGGCACGTGAATAACACTCTCCCTGCGGAGCCGGTGCCGCGAGCATCTAGGCCATATCAGGTGTACGGGCGTGCCGCCAAGGACGAGGTGGCTGAGCGGAAGCACCGGCTGTGGTGCGACGAGTACACGAACAAGGCTGGGGCCGATGAGTTCACTTTAATATGTGTCGGCAGGTTCGTGTTACGACGATTTTTGCAACGGTTTCTGGCGCCGCGCGGATCTTTGAACCTTGAACGATCGTGTACAATGGTGCCTGCATCGGGCAACCATAGGCCTTCAACCTTGCGCGCCCGCTCTGGTGTCTCCGCCGCGTCGACGCGACATGAACCTGCCGTAAATAGAGGCGCAACTAAACCGACCCTCTTTTGCAGCGCTCTTTCTCCTGTAGGCATTACGCGCGTCTCCTGATCCTCTACGATTTCGCCCCAGCCGTTGGCGAGGACTCCGCGGAGTTCCCGACCGACTTTGGGCATTAGGTCCACATCGGGGGCCAGAAGTTCAACGCTGCAGTTTTGGAGCGGGCCCGCAACGCTCCGAATCGCAGCGGGGAAATGCACAAGTTCTGGGGGGAGGGGCGTTACAAAACGCACCAGATGGGCCACCTCATTTGCGAGGTTCCGCGCAACAGTTCCTAGCGCACGCGGAGCTCGGCGCGAACATGGAGAAAGAGACTCTGGAGGCTGTTGAAGGACGTCGCGGGTGTCATAAGAAAGAACCTTGGCGGAATAACGGTTGGGATGAGATCGAAAAGTCCGCGGGCGCCCGCCTCCAAAGAAACATCGTGCCGTCGGATATCTGGGGGGGCCGTGAGGGGCGCCGAGGAAGTCATAAGAGAGATCCCTAAAGAAAAAACAGCCCCTGGGATCAGATCGGGAGGTCCGCGGACGCACGTTTCGAAACAAACATCTGGACGTCGGATGTCTGGGGATGGCGGGAGGCAAGGCGCGCATGGCGGATGCTGAGGCGGCAAAATGACGGAGACGGCGATGGGGAGGCGGAGGCAGAGGCACAGCAGCGAAAGGCGAGAGGCGCGAGGAGGAAGGAGGGAAGAGGAGGCAGGCGGGAGGAAAGAGGGGGAGGTGGGAGAAATGAGAGAGGTTTCAGGCAGAACGGGGCACACCATCTCGTGCGCAGCATCTCGAAGAACCCTGACAAAGAACCAGTCCCGGGGACGAAATCGAGAGGTCCGCGGGCGCACGTCTCGAAACAAAAATCGCGACGTCGGATGTCTGCGGAGGGCGGAAGGCAGGGCGCGCATGGCGGCATCTCGGAGCTTCGCATTGTGAGGATGGTTCGGGGGAAACGGGCTGGACCTCCTCGCGTGCGGCATCTCGGAATTCAATATTGGAAGGATACCCCAAGAGAACCGGGCCGTTTTACCTCTCGACTCCCGTCAAGCCCTCTCGTGCAACTCCATTCCTCATCCCTCCTCCTCCTCCTCCTCCTCCTGCCTGCTCCCTCCTCCTCCTCTTCCTCCTCCTCCGGCACGTTTTGAGACGTCGCTAAAAGGTATATGAAATCCTGTTCGGGGAACCCTGTTTCGGAGCCCAGGGTTGCGAGGATGTCCCAGGTCGCACCTGGTCGACGAGTAAGCTGCCAGGTCGGCACTGCGAGAGGCTCCACCGCCATGCTGTGAACTCAGAAGCAACTTTAAGAGGAAACGGGGGAGGGCGCGGAAGCGGGGGGGCATGTCGTGATGGTTCCCTCGGGGATGATATCGAAAGGAACGCGGCGCACGTCTCAAAAGAAAAATCACGACGTCGGATGTCTGGGGAGGGCGGAAGGCAGCGCGCGCATGACGGATGCTGAGGCGGCAGAAACGACGACGGCGGAGACGGGGAGGCGGAGGCAGAGGCGCAGCAGCGGGAGGCGGGAGGCGGGAGGAGGGAGGAGGGAAGAGGAACCAGGCGGGAAGTGGGAAGAGGGAGGCGGGAGAAGGAATGAAAGAGGTTGTGATTGGAGCTCCTGCGCTACAAAACGTCTCAGGCAGAATGGGCCAGACCATCTCGCGCGGAACATCTTCCAGCCTCGCATTGCGAGGATGGCTCAATCGAAACGGGCCGGACCCCCTCGCGAGCGACATCCTGGAGCTCAGTATTGGAAGGATTTCTCAAACGAAACGGGCCGGACAATCTCCCCCACACGTTTTGACAAGTCCACACCGCACTCGCTTCCCGTTAGGTCCTCTCCTGCAACTCCCTTCCTCCTCCCTCCTCCTCCTCCTCCTCCTCCCCCCTCCTCCTGCCTGCTCCCTCATGCACATCATCCGCCTCCTCCTTCTCCCTTCCATATCATTTTCCTTCTCCTCCCCCTCCTCCTCCTCCTTCTCCTCCTCCTCCTCCTCCTCATCCCGAACGGCATCTCGGAGCCTAGAGTTGCGAGGATGTCTCCAGCGTAACGGGCTGGACCACCTCGCGCGCGGCATCTCGGACCCCAGAGTTGCGACGATTTCTCGGGCAAACGTGCTGCGAGGAAGTCTCAGGCGAAACGGGCCGGACCACCTCGAGCGCGGCGTCTCAGAGCTCCGAGTTGCGGGGGCCTCCTGGCGCCTCTGGGGCCTCCTGGGGACCTCCTGGGGCTTCCTCCTGGGCCTCCTGTGGCCTCCTGGACCCCACTTGGGGCTTCCTGAAGCCTCTTGGGGCTCCCAGGGGGGATATCTAACCTGTGGCCGTTTGGGCCTCTCCAAATGGAGGGGGGGGCACAAGAGCAGGAATAATCAACGAATCGACACCGGATGCGTATTAAGTTGACACGTTCTGACGAGGGCCTCCTGGGGCCTCTTGGGAGCCTCCTAGGAATCTCCTGGGGACCCCTGGGGCCTGTCCTGGGCGTCCTGCGGCCTCCTGGAGCTCTCTGGGGCCTCCCCCTCCTCCTGCGTGCTCCCTCATGCACATCATCCGCCTCCTCCTTTTCCCTTCCATCTCCTCCTCCTCCTCCTCCTCCTCCTCCTCCTCCTCCACCTCCTCTTCATCCCGAACGGCATCTCGGAGCCTAGAGTTGCGAGGATGTCTCCAGCGTAACGGGCTGGACCACCTCGCGCGCGGCATCTCGGACCCCAGAATTGCGACGATGTCTCGGCGCGGCGTCTCAGAGCTCCGAGTTGCGGGGGCCTCCTGGGGCATCCTGGGGCTTCCTCCTGGGCCTTCTGTGGCCTCCTGGACCCCACCTGGGGCTTCCTGAAGCCTCTTGGGGCTCCCAGGGGGGATATCTAACCTGTGGCCGTTTGGGCCTCTCCAAATGGAGGGGGGGGCACAAGAGCAGGAAGAATCAACGAATCGACACCGGATGTGTATTAACTTGACACGTTCTGATAGGCGGCCTCCTGGGGCCCCCTGAGATCCTCCTGGGAATCTCCTGGAGACCCCTGGGGCCTGTCCTGGGCGTCCTGCGGCCTCCTGGTGCCTCTTGGGGCCTCCTGGGGACCTCCTGGAGTTTCCTCCTGGGCCTCCTGTGGCCCCCTGGACTCCACCTGAGGTTTCCTGAAGCCGCTTGGGGCTCCCAGGGGGGATATCTAACCTGTGGCCGTTTGGGCCTCTCCAAATGGAGGGGGGGGCACAAGGGCAGGAAGAATCAACGAATCGACACCGGATGTGTATTAACTTGACACGTTCTGATAGGCGGCCTCCTGGGGCCCCCTGAGATCCTCCTGGGAATCTCCTGGAGACCCCTGGGGCCTGTCCTGGGCGTCCTGCGGCCTCCTGGAGCTCTCTGGGACCTCCTGAAGCTCGCAGGGTCCCACGAAGGATATGGAACATGTGGTCTTCTGGGCGCCCAGGCTGGACCACCTCTCGCGCAGCATCTGAGAGCTCAGAGTTGCGAGAATGTCTTGTGCGAAACAAGCCAGACCACCTTGCGCACGGCATCTCGGAGCTCAGAGTTGCAAAAATGTCCCAGGCGGGACGGGCCAGACCACCTCGCGCAGGGCATCTCAGAGCTCAGAAGTTCGAGGATGTCTCAGGCGAAACGAGCCGGACCACTTCTCGCGCGACATCTCCGAAGTCAGAGTTTCGAGGATGTCTCAGGCGAAACGGGCCGGACCACCTCGCGCAAGGCATCGCAAAACTCAGAGTTCCGAGGATGTCTCAAGCGAAACGGCCCGGACCACCTCTCGCGCGGCGTCCCGGAGCGCAACTGTTCGAGGATGTCTCAGGCGAGACGGCCAATCCCGGCCAGCTCAGAAACGAGAGTTGTGAGGATGTTTCAAGCGAAACGGCCAAACCAATAAAATTGTTGTGAGGATGTCTCTGCTCCGCGTTCCCTCGGCCGGAGTTAGTTTCTATCACAACAGCACCCCGTTCAGCAAGCTGTTTGGGGAACAACTGTATGAAGAATGTGCGTCGTATCGCTGTCTGTCTGTTGTGCGCATGCGATGAGTGTCCTGTGGTCGTGATGGCATGCTGTGTTGTGCGAGTGCGTGTCACTTGTGATGTGAGCGCGGTGTTCGCCGCGTATGTTGCGTATGCAGTGTGGTGTGCCTGTGTGCGTTGCGTTGTCCGTGGCTGTCCCATCATATATGTATATATAATATAATATATACATGTATATGCGTGTTTCGCGTGCGCGCTGTGCTGCGCTACGCGCAAAGGGCGCGCGTGCGTGCGTGCGGCCAGGATTGGCGGCACCAGCTGAAAAAGGTATCTACATGTCGTAACATTACGCATGCGGTGCTATGATAGGCTACTGGAAGCCCGCGAGAGCTTCAGAGGCGTCCTCCTGCAAAGTCGTCCGCTTCCCCAACGAAATAAATTGTTGGCATCCATCGGAAGGAGTTGCTGCATCGGCGTAGTCGTCTTCACCCAGCAACCCTCCGACATCGGCGCCAGCATTTCCGAGGCGCTTGACGTAAAAATTCAAGTATTTCACACCCTTGTCCGTGCAGCCGCGTACGACCTTCAGCTCCACAGGGCCAAGCTTCGTCCAGCCGGGCATCTGGAGAGTCGCGCCGTTCACCTCCTCGGTGCTGAAGAGAAATCCGCCTGTCCGCACCTCGTTGGCCCACGTCCCTGTGATGTTCAGCGTCTGGAAATCCGCCGCCGTGCCCCCTGGCACTCCCAGTCGTCCCAGAATGCCAAGTGCTGTCTGGCAGGGATCCTGTGGATCTTCTTAAGCACCTCCCCACCTCAGGACGCACTTCCTTGCGTGCACCAGACCCTCTCCCGGGGCCGCAACCTTCGAAAAATACCACCGATTCGCATTCTCCCAGGGCTACGCGCGTCGCCCGGCGGCTTCCCGCATGACCTCGGGGAGGGCCATTTTCGGCACCGCTCAAAAAGACGCTGGCCTCCGAGGGCGGAAATTCAAGCCTCCCGACCCAAGAGGCCGCCAAGATGACCCCACGAGGCCCCCAAGAGGCCCCAAGGAGCCCCCAAAGGGCTTCAAGAAGCTGCAAAGAGGCGGGATATGCAGAAACCGACTATATGCCACCGGTTCGCGATCCCGACGCCCAAATCCCTCGTAGACAATGAAAAATCGGCGCTCCCGAGGCCAAGATGTCTCAAAGACGGCTCAAGATACCGCAGCTCCACGAAGACGGCCCAATTTGCTCTCAAGATCACCAATGATGGCTGTCACCTGCGACGATTTCGGCGCGTGTCCCACAGAAGCCCAGGACAGCCCCAAGACGCCCCAAATGAGGTCTATGAGCGCTTCTCGAGAAGTGAAGACAATAGATGTCGCACGTGGCGGATTCACCCTTCCTTTTCCTCATGCTCATCCAGCTCCTCCACCTTCCCTCCTCAACATCATCCTGATATATTCAAATGCCATCACTATCAGGATCTCAATCACCGTCCTGGTCTTCATCATCGTGCACATCAAAATCGTCATCGGCATCAATATCATCATCCTAACCATCATCATCATCATCACCATCATCAGCACCATCGAGCCTGGAGATACAATGCATCACAAGTTAGGGTACCCGCGCTCCCTCGCGCAAAGACCACCGATATACCTGGGCTGGCATGGTGGTGGGACGTGCCGCAGGCAGCTGGATACAGTTCCCCACAATGTGCGCCCAACTGGCGCGCATCCGCCATGACGGTGAGCAGCGCGTCGTCGCCGGCCTTTCCGCGCGGGATCTGGATCAAAACGGCCTTGCCAGGCCTCCTCAAATCAAACCGTTCGCCGTAGATGTTTTGCAGATGCGGGTCGCCCGTTGCAGACGCTGGCATCGGTGCGACCGTCGGTGCTGGTGTCGGCGCAAGCGTCGGCACTGCATGCGGAACGACTGCAAATCGGGCCACCTTTCCAGAATTCGCCGGCCCAACGGGCCAGAGGCGTGCTAAGATCTCCGCCAACTGCTCAACAATATTTCTGGTTCGCGCGCGCGGGGCGGGTCATGGGGGTCCCCGGACGAAAAAAAACCCGGCAAGGTCCCGGCAAGGTCGCGGCAAGGTCCCGGCAAGGTCCCTTTTCGGAGCCCAGGAGGGTTCCAAACGGTCCAAGAGAGGCCCGAGAAGCCTTCGAGACGGTCCAAGAGAGCCGGGAGACACCGAAATGTTACTCCCAAGTGCCTGCGATGGCCTCAAGACGGCCCAACAGGCCTTCAAGACGCCCCAAGAGGTCCCTAGGCGGCGCCCCAAGAGGGCCCCCACAAGCAAAAATCGTCCCATTCCCTTGGGAAAACGCGCATTTTTTACATATCCGCCTCTTCGTCTCTCACACCTTTCAAGGCGGCCCAAGAGGCCCCCAAGATCACCCCAACACGGCCCGAGAGACCCTCAAGACCGCCCAAACACGGCCCAAGAGCGCTCCAAGAAGGCCCAACAACCCTCAAGAACTCTTTCTCGCAACCCAGGAGGGCTCCAAATCGGTGCAAGAGGGGCCCGAGAAGCCCCCCAGACGGTCCAAGAGAGCCGGGAGACGCCGAAATATCACTCCCAAACGCCTGCGATGGCCTCAAGACGGCCCAACAGGCCTTCAAGACGCCCCAAAAGGTCCCCAAGAGGTCCCTAAGCGGCGTCCCAAGAGGGCTCCCACAAGCAAGAATCGTCTCGCTCCCTTGGGAAAGCGCGCATTTTTAACATATCCGCCTCTTCGTCTCTCACACCTTTCAAGGCGGCCCAAGAGGCCCCCAAGATCACCCCAACACGGCCCGAAAAACCCTCAAGACCGCTCAAAGACGGCCCAAAAGCGCTCCAAGAAGGCCCAAGAAACCCTCAAAAACTCTTTTCCGGAGCCCAGGAGGGCTCCAAATCGGTCCAAGAGGGGCCCGAGAAGCCCTCCAGACGGTCCAAGAGAGCCGGGGGACGCCGAAATATCACCCCCAAACGCCTACGATGGCCTCGAGACGGCCCAACAAGCCTTCAAGACGCCCCAAGAGGTCCCTAAGCGGCACCCCAAGAGGGTTCCCACAAGCAGAAACCGTCTCTTCCCTTCGGACAACGTGCATGTTTTAACATATCCGCCTCTTCGTCTTTCACACCTTTCAAAGCGATCCAGGAGGCCCCCAAGATCACCCCAAGACGGCCCGAGAGACCCTCCAAACCACTCAAAGACGGCCCAAGAGCGCCCCAAGAAGGCCCAACAAACCCTCAAGACGGTCCAAGAGGCCCCAAGACGGCCCCATGATTGAGGTCCACAGGGGCAGCCTGAACGGAAATGTTGAGCTTCCCGCCCAAACACGCCCCCGAAATGCCCCTACAAGCCCCCAGGTAGCCCCACGAAGCCCCCAAGAGAGCCCCAAGAAGCCCCCAACAGGCCGCAAGAAAGCCCCAAGAGGCCCCCAAGAGACCCCAGGAAGCTCCCAGGAGGCCCCCAAGAGACCAGGCAGACCCCCCCAAGAGACCACCAAGAGGGCCCACCCAGAGCCATCCACGAGGCCTCCAAAAGTTCCCAAGAAGCTCCCACGAAGTTTCCAAGGGCTCCCAAGACCCCCCAAGAACCCGCGATGGCACAATACGGGCCGGCGGAATGAGCGAAGCGATTCAATATCCAACACCAAATAATTCACGGTTTTTGTAATACGGGTTCACGTACCCGTAAATCCCGTCTGTGAAACCGCCATAGCATCCCCTGAGCTCGCCGTCCTCGTCGGCCAAGCTGAGGACTTCAATGGTGTTGAACCCAGACAGCGGGAAACGAACAACTTTTGAAAATTGATGGTATGGAACAACGTAGCCGTACGTCCCGTCTGTAAAGCCGCCGCCGAACCCCCTGAGCCCGCTGTCCCAGGTTTCCAAGTCGAGGATCTCGACATTGTTGAACCCTGACAGCGAGAAACGAACAACTTTTCCAGAATGTGGTCCGCCGTCTTCGTACCACGGGACCAGGTATCCGTGGACCCCGTCCGTGAAGCCGCCATTAAAACTGCGAACCCCAACCGCTAGGGCCTCGACATTGTTGAACCCAGACAACGAGAAACGAACAACTCTTCCAGCTAGGTTCAACGACAGCGGAATTAAATACCCGTGAGTCCCATCTGTAAATCCGCCGCTGAACCACCCTACGTAGCCCTGGCCCAAGCTGAGGACCTCGACGTTGCTCAACCCAGACAAGGAAAAACGAGCGACTTTCCCGTTCGTCGAAATCGCGTACCCGTAGCTTCCGTCCGTAAATCCAAAACTCATGCTATTGAGATCGCCGTCCGTGGTAGCCAAGTTGATGACATCGACACTGTTGAACCCTAGCAGCGAGAAGCGAACAACTTTTCCGGTACGGCTGATCACATACCCGAAGGTCCCAGCAGGAAACGCGCCAGCGCAGCTTTGGATGTCGCTGTCCGCGGCAGTCAAATTCAGAACCTCGACGTTGTTGAACCCCGCCAACGAAAAACGAGCGACAAACCCCGTGACAGAGCTAGCCATGTACCCGTGGGCCCCGTCCGAAAAGCTGTTACGAAAAGCTACAAGGTTGCTGTCCGTGTCGGCCAAATTGAGGACCTCGACGGTGCTGAAGTCTCTCGTCGTGTCCTGCGCATGAGTACTCATTCGCGAGGCGTTGTGCTTAGAGAAGATACGATGAGCACGATATCCCGCCTGCATCACCTCGGCGTTCGCGGCGGGCATCACGTTCTGCAAGAGAAACGCCACCACGCATGCGGTGCACTGCGCCTTCCCAATAGCGAGCATCAGGAAACTGGACGAAACAGGGGATCCAAGAAATGAATGTGAAAGAAGGTGCACGGTTAAAGTGCTGACCGAAAAGTAACTGCCTTGAACCTGAAGAAGCTGTGTTAGCGCTGCCTTTCAGACCCTTGAGCCAGTCTGGGGGGCGCCTCCGATGATGGGCGTTGCCGAAGAGTTTCCCTCTAGACATGTCTTTCGAGTGGGAAAAGACCTGGGGAGCGGAAACAAATCAAGAACCCCTTCCCGCAAAGGGGAACTGCTTCTCAAACAAACATGATCGACCCACGAACCCGGAAAGGAATATAGAAATGTAACGCATGGCGACGTTTTCAAAGACACCTGATTGGGTGACGGGCAAGTGCAATGCTGATTGTATCGATCTTGATGTACCGTGCCGAGGGCTGTGCTGTGCTACGCCGTGCTGAATTGCGATGTGCCATGCCGCGGTTGTGCTCTATAGCGTCGTGGATCGAGTCTTCCTTTGCATCCGAGTCCTGACCGAACTGACCTGGATCTTAAGCTCGAGCTGCCTGAACAAATATTAGCTGCCCCAGAGCTAATTGACAAGGGGGCATGCCAGGAGGACGCGCCGCGAAACGTCCCAAGGGACGCGCCAGGCGGCGTGCCAGGGGACGTGCCATGGGGTCGCACCGCCGGACGTGCCAAAGGGACGCGCTACGGAACGTGCCAATGGACGTGCCACGGAATGTGCCAAGGGACGCGCCACGCGACGTGCCAGGGGGACTCGCCAAGGGACGCCCCACGGAACGTGCCAAGTTGCAATGCTGAGTGTATCGATCTTGATGTACCGTGCCGAAATCTGTGCTGTGCTGCGCCGTGCCGAATCGCGATGTGCCATGCCGCGATTGTGCTCTATAGCCTCGTGGATCGAGTCCCCCCTTGCATCCGAGTCCTGACCGAACTGATCTGGATCTCAAGCTCGAGCTGCCTGAACACATAGTAGCTGCCCCAGAGCTAATTGACAAGGGGACATACCAGGAGGACGCGACGCGGAACGTCTCAAGGGACCCGCCAAGCGACGTGCCAAGGGACGTGCCATGGGGACGCACCGCGGGACGTGCCAAGGGGACGCGCTACGGAACGTGCTGGGGACAAGCGTTTCGCTCGAGACATCCTGCCAACATCCTCAGAATTCCTGCGCGCGGGACGCGGCACGCGCGAGACATCCTCAAAATTCTTGCGAGCGGGACGTGAAAACAAGCATTTCGCCTGAGACATCTTCTGAATTCTGGACCCCCCACGAGGACCCCCACGAGGCCCCCGCTCGAGACATCCCCAAATTTTGCAAAACCAGCGTTTCGCTCGAAACGTCTTCAACAAATAATGAAAAACAAGCATTTCGCTCGAGACATCCTGCCAAAATCCAAGGAAGTCCTGGCAAAACGAGCGAATTAGTCGAGACATCCTCGACATTCCTGCGCGCGGGACGCGGCACGCGCGAAACATCATCGGAATTCCTGCGCGCGGGGCGCTTTTCCGTGTCGCGGTCGGCTCTGCAAAACCAGCGTTTCGCTCGAGACATCCTCAACAAATTCTGAAAACAAGCGTTTCGCTCGAGACATCCCCAACTCTGCAAAACCAGCGTTTCGCTCGAGACATCCTCAACAAAGTCTGAAAAACAAGCGTTTCGCTAGGGACATCCTCCAAAATAATTCCGCCGGCCCTACTCCCGCACGTAATTTATCGCAGAATAATTTCGCCGGCCCATCAGCCGTCAGATCCGGGGGTAAACCTCTAAAAGAGAACCCTGGGCTCGAGCCCTTTCGGGGAAAAAACTTTGAAAAGGACCCCCCCCCCACTAGAAATCCGCTCTAAAGGGCGAAACCACTTCTGGAGAGGACCCCCCCTACAAATCCCAATCTAGAGAAGGAGAAACCTTCCCTAGAGCAGGATAACCATTAGACACCTATTCAAAATGCGGAGAACCCTCTCTAGAGAAGGACCTCCCCCCCTTCAGAAACTTCTCGAAGAGAAAATCTTGCTCTTCCGGAGGGGGTAGAAATTGAAAACATGATCGACCCACGAACCCGGAAAGGAATATAGAACTGTAACACATGGCAGCGTTTTCAAAGACACCTGATTGGGTGACGGGCAAATGCAATGCTGAGTGTATCGATCTTGATGTACCCTGCCAAGGGCTGTGCTGTGCTGCGCCGTGCTGAATTGCGATGTGCCATGGCGCGACTGTGCTCTATAGCGTCGTGGATCGAGTCCTCCTTTGCATCCGAGTTCTGACCGAACTGATCTGGATCTTAAGCTCGAGCTGCCTGAACACATAGTAGCTGCCCCAGAGCTAATGGACAGGGGAACATGCCAGGAGGACGCGCCGCGAAACGTCCCAAGGGATGCGCCAGGCGACGTGCCAGGGGACGTGCCATGGGGTCGCACCGCGGGACGTGCCAAGGGGACGCGCTACGGAACGTGCCAATGGATGTGCCACGGGATGTGCCAGGGGACGCGCCACGCGACGTGCCAGGGGGACTCGCCAAGGGACGCCCCACGGAACGTGCCAAGGAACGTGCCAAATTGCAATGCTGAGTGTATCGATCTTGATGTACCGTGCCGAAATCAGTGCTGTGCTGCGCCGTGCTGAATTGCGATGTGCCATGGCGCGATTGTGCTCTATAGCCTCGTGGATCGAGTCCTCCTTTGCATCCGAGTCCTGACCGAACTGATCTGGATCTTAAGCTCGAGCTGCCTGTACACATAGTAGCTGCCCCAGAGCTAATTGACAAGGGGAACATGCCAGGAGGACGCGACGCAGAACGTCTCAAGGGACGCGCCAGGCGACGTGCCAGGGGACGCGCCATGGGGACGCAACGCGGGACGTGCCAAGGGGACGCGCTACGGAACGTGCTGGGGACAAGCGTTTCGCTCGAGACATCCTATCACAATCATCCGAATTCCTACGCGCGGGACGCGGCACGCGCGAGACATCCTCGGAATTCCTGCGAGCGGGACACGAAAACAAGCATTTCGCCTGAGACATCCTTTGAATTCTGGCCCCCCACGATGCCACCGCTCGAGACATCCCCCAATTTTGCAAAACCAGCGTTTCGCTCGAGACATCCTCAACAAATTATGAAACACAAGCGTTTCGCTCGAGACATCCTGTCAAAATCCAAAGAAATCAAAATTCCTGCGCGCGGGACGCGGCACGCGCGAGACATCCTCGGAATTCCTGCACGAGGAGCGCTTTTCCGTGTCGCGGTCGGCTCTGCAAAACCAGCGTGTCGCTCGAGACATCCTCAACAAATTCTGAAACCAAGCGTTTCGCTCGAGACATCCCCAACTATGCAAAACCAGCGTTTCGCTCGAGACATCCTCAACAAATTATGAAAAACATGATCGACCCACGAACCCGGAAAGGAATGTAGAACTGTAACACATGGCAGCGTTTTCAAAGACACCTGATTGGGTGACGGGCAAATGCAATACTGAAGGTATCGATCTTGATGTACCCTGCCGAGGGCTGTGCTGTGCTGCGCCGTGCTGAATTGCGATGTGCCATGGCGCGACTGTGCTCTATAGCCTCGTGGATCGAGTCCTCCTTTGCATCCGAGTCCTGACCGAACTGATCTGGATCTTAAGCTCGAGCTGCCTGAACACATAGTAGCTGCCCCAGAGCTAATGGACAGGGGAACATGCCAGGAGGACGCGCCGCGAAACGTCCCAAGGGATGCGCCAGGCGACGTGCCAGGGGACGTGCCATGGGGTCGCACCGCGGGACGTGCCAAAGGGACGCGCTACGGAACGTGCCAATGGATGTGCCACGGAATGTGCCAGGGGACGCGCCACGCGACGTGCCAAGGGGACTCGCCAAAGGACGCCCCACGGAACGTGCCAAGGAACGTGCCAAGTTGCAATGCTGAGTGCATCGACCTTGATGTACCGTGCCGAAATCAGTGCTGTGCTGCGCCGTGCTGAATTGCGATGTGCCATGGCGCGACTGTGCTCTATAGCCTCGTGGATCGAGTCCTCCTTTGCATCCGAGTCCTGACCGAACTGATCTGGATCTTAAGCTCGAGCTGCCTGAACACATAGTAGCTGCCCCAGAGCTAATGGACAGGGGAACATGCCAGGAGGACGCGACGCAGAACGTCTCAAGGGACGCGCCAAGCGACGTGCCAAGGGACGTGCCATGGGGACGCATCGCGGGACGTGCCAAGGGGACGCGCTACGGAACGTGCTGGGGACAAGCGTTTCGCTCGAGACATCCTGTCAAAATCATCCGAATTCCTACGCGCGGGACGCGGCACGCGCGAGACATCCTCGGAATTCCTGCGAGCGGGACGTGAAAACAAGCATTTCGCCTGAGACATCCTTTGAATTCTGGCCCCCCACGAGGCCACCGCTCGAGACATCCTCCAATTTTGCAAAACCAGCGTTTCGCTCGAGACATCCTCAACAAATTATGAAAAACAAGCGTTTCGCTCGAGACATCCTGTCAAAATCCCAAGAAATCCAAATACCCGCGCGCGGGACGCGGCACGCGCGAGACATCCTTGGAATTCCTGCGCGAGGGGCGCTTTTCCGTGTCGCGGTCGGCTCTGCAAAACCAGCGTGTCGCTCGAGACATCCTCAACAAATTCTGAAACCAAGCGTTTCGCTCGAGACATCCCCAACTCTGCAAAACCAGCGTCTCGCTCGAGACATCCTCAACAAATTCTGAAAAACAAGCGTTTCGCTCGAGACATCCTCAAAAATAATTTCGCCGGCCCTACTCCGTGCGTGCCCGCTCGCAAAATAATTTCGCCGGCCCAAGTCGCAGGGGGGCCGGGGGGTTAACCTACTAACATGCCAGGAGGACGCGCCGCGAAACGTCCCCAGGGACGCGCCAGGCGACGTGCCAAGGGACGTGCCATGGGGTCGCACCGTAGGCCGTGCCAAGGGGACGCGCTACGGGACATCCTCAAAATTCCTGCGCGCGGGACGTGGCACGCGCGAGACATCTTCCGAATTCCTGCGAGCGGGACGTGAAAACAAGCATTTCGCCTGAGACATCCTCTGAATTCTGGCCCCCCACGAGGCCCCCGCTCGAGACATCCCCAAGTTTGCAGAAACCAGCGTTTCGCTCGAGACATCCTCAACAAATTATGAAAAACAAGCGTTTCGCTCGAGACATCCGGTCAAAATTCTAAGAAATCCTGACAAAACAAACGAATTAGTCGAGACATCCTCGAAATTC